CCTTAAACTTACACTGTTATTTGTTAGTTATATCTCAATAAAGGTGGGAAAAAAACAAGGCTAAGTGTACGTGTGTGTGTGTGTGTGTACGTAGGGATGGTGGTGCTTGTGAGTGAGTGCATTTTAGAGTGCTCAGGAATATCTCTGAAGAAGTGAGGTAAAGAGGAGAGTCAAGTGAATTTCTGGGGAAAAGCATTGCAGGAGGAGGGAGCCAAGTACAAAGGCCCTGAGTTAGGAATGAATCTGTTATGGTTGAGGAAGGGCAAGAGGGTAATGTGAGAGAAGTGAAATATAGAGTTTCATGCAGCGTCTTCTAAGCTGTATTAAGGAATTCAGATTTTATTTTAATTTTACTTTATCTTTAAAAAAGTGATAGGGAGCTTAAAATCAGAGTGAATAATATAATTTAAGTTGTAAGAAGGTCACTTACTGTCATGTAAATAGACTAGTGAGTCATATTAGGTGTAGATTTGGCTGTGTGTAACAGTTAAATGATTGAGAAGTTTATTTCTTTTTCACTCAACAGTCTGGAGGTGTAGTTAGTCTACCATTCTTAGGGTGTGTCCTTATCTGTATGGTTCAGAATGGCTTGTCACCTCCTCCATTTTCAAAGCAGCAGGGTGGAGGAAGGGCCAAAGAGAGGGGTGTACCCCTGCCGTTGAAAATCTGGGTTGTTGCAGTTATCACTCCCTCTCACATTCTATTGTCCAGAACTTGGGAGTGGACATCTCTCTCCTACCCCCAAGTCATGTTCCCTTTTCATTTATGGCTATTTAGTATTCAATTGTGTAGATATGCCAGTTTCCTTAATATTCTATTGAATAAGTAGCCTTAAACTTTTTTCTTTATTGAGTAACATAATGAATATTTTTTATATTCTCAATAGTTTAAGTACTGGATTATGTGTACATATTTATTTCATGGTGTTCATTTATTATTGCCATGTTTTTGCTATCCAAATTAGCAGGAAAAAAGCATTGAAATATGATTTTTGTCTTGTTAGTAAAGTCAAACATTCTATTTTATTTCATAAATTTTTATTATGGGATATTTAATGTGTACACAAAAGTAGACAATAATATAGTGAATATCTTTGTACTCATTATTTGGCTTTGATAATTATCAGCTTACAGCCAATCTTGCTATATTTAAAACCCTGTCCAAATTTCCTCCTGTGTAATTTTGAAGCAAATCCCAGACATTGTATAATTTCATCTGTAACTATTTCAGTGTGCAAATGCTTTTTCATATGGTTATTATCCGGTTGTATTGATTCTTTTATGAACTCTCTCTCCATGTCCATGGTATATTTTTCTTCATTTTCAGTAATTTTACACATCTTTAGTATATAGACAATAAAGGCCCAGTTTTCTGTATGGGCCTTAATTTGGATAAAGGTAGTTAACTTAAGTTTTGAACATGTTAAGTTTGAGATGCTTATGGAACATCCAAGGTTGATGTTTAAAAGGGAGTTATATACAGACTGTGCTGCTGCTTTCATTTATCAACATAGGGGTGATTGGTGAAGACTTGGGAATGGATATTATTCAAGGAGAGTTGGTGGAGTGAAAAGCAAAAGCTGCAAATTGATGCTTGTAAAATATTTAGGGGATGGACATAGAAAAAGATATCCAGAAAGAAGACTAAGAAGAAACATTTTGGAAAAAAGAAAGTCTGGAGAGAGCAATATCTGTCTAAGGAAGGAAAGGTTAATAACATTGTCAGATGTAGCAGAGAGATCAAGGAAGATGATAAATAGAAATATGTTTGTTGGATTTTATGATTAAGCAAATGAGAAAATAGATGGCAGACACAGGACACAGTGTGCTGTAGTGGTGCGAGATAGACTTGAGTTTGAATTCTGGCTGCCGCTTATCTTGCTGTAGTGTATTTGGAAATTTACTTCTTGAACATTAGTTATCTCACTTTTTATTTTTTATTTATTTATTTTTTGCTGGGATTCACCCTGAGCTAACATCTGTTGCCAGTCTTCCTCTCTCTCTCTTTTTTTTTTTCCCTCCCCGAAGCCCCAGTACATAGTTGTATATTCTAGTTGTAGGTCCTTCTAGTTCTTCTGTGTGAGCTGCTGCCACAGCGTGGCTACCGATAGACGGGTGGTGTGGTTCTGTGCCCGGAAACTGAACCCAGGCCGCTGAAGCGGAGTGCGCCAAACTTTAACCACAAGGTCTTCAGGGCTGGCTCAAGTTATCTCACTTTTTAAATGGGGGTGTTAATGCCTCAGTTGTAAGGTTGCTGAGACGTAAAACTAAGAGAATGTGTAGCACTTGTTTGTATCTTCTTCATAAACAGTAGTTGCTGATATTACATTGTGTAATACCTAATGGCTGATCTAGGATATCTGACTTTAGTGATTTCTATTATACAAGTTCTGTATCTGTTGTTATTAACTTGCTGTACTAATTAATATTCTTTTGATAGTATAGTATACATTCTTGGAATTAGTTCAATTTTAACTTTCATTGGCATCTTTTAATCACCAAGCGTTCTTTATTTTTTTTAATGGTAAGAATGGAAAGTGATTTAAGTATAAGAGTTTCTGCCTAAAATTTGGATCTAAAAAAATCCAAGGAAACCAGAATTGACTTAAAAGAAGTCATTTTAAAGCAAGTCTGCTAGTGGCAAATACTCTTTAAGTTTTCCTTTGTCTGAGAATCTTGATTTCCTCTTCATTCTTGAAGGATATTTTTGCTGGATAGGAATTTTGGATTGATAGTTCTTTTATTTCAGTACTTTAAAATGCTCTTCCACTGCTTCTGCCTTCCATGGTTTCTGATGAGAAATCCACAGTCACTTGAATTGTTGTTCCCCTAAATGGAATGTTGATTGTCCTTGGCTACTTTCAAGATTTTGTTTGTTTGTTTGTTGTTATTTTTCAGTAGATTGTGATATATCTGGATATGGATTTCTTTGAATTTATGTTGTTTGAGATTCATTGACCTTCCTGAAATTTTAAGTATGTCTTTCACCAAATCTGGGAAGTTTTCTGCTGATGTTTCTTCAAATACGTTTTCTGCACTCTACTCTTTCTCCTCTCCTTTTGGGACTCTGATGACATGAATGTTAGACCTTCGAATATTGTCTCCTTGGCTCTGTTCATTAATTTTTTTTATCATTTTTCTCTATTAATGAGATTGGATAATTTCTATTGCTCTATCTTCAAGTTCACTGACTCTTTCCTCTGTTGTCTCCATTCTTTAATTGAGCCCCTCCAGGGAGTTTTGTTTTTTATTTTGTTATTGTAGTTTTAATTCTAAAATTTTATTTTGTTTCACACACAGACACACACACAATATAATCTTATTTCTCTGCTGAGACTCTATTTTTTTCAAGAATATTCTCCCTGACTTCTTGAAGCATGGTTATATAATAGCTGCTTTAAAGTCTTTGTTGGATAACTTGAACATCTATCTGTGTCATTTTAGGTTTGTTGTGTGTAGGTTGTCTTTTCCCTTTGAGTTGTTGAGATTTTCCTGGTTCTTCATATGTCAAGTGATTTTGGATTGTATATTAGACATTTTGATGTTATGATACTCTGTGTCTTGTTTAAATTCTATGGAGAATGTTAATTTTTCTTTTTTTGAGGGATGGAGGATTTTTTAAGCAGGCATTTGATCTCGTTAGGTTCAGGTCACAAGTTTCTACCCACCTTCTGTGCCCTGAAATTCCAATGTCCAGTTTTCAAAGCGTTTGCAGAGATGTTCAGATCTATTCTGCATGTGCACCATGTAGTGGCTAATTTGGGAACCTGATAGTATGTTTACTGTCAGATCCATGTATGTATAGCTCTCGGGTGACTCCAGGAGTGTTCGTAGAGCTTCCTGGTGTCACTTTCTTGAGCTCCTTTTTCTTTGCAAGTTCCGTGACACTTTCTGGCTCCTAGAGATCCTTCTTCCTTGTGTTATGGTTAGACAACCGGGGTTTTCATTTCTCTGTTTTGCCGCACTTCCACAACTGCATCTGCCTCTGATGCCAAGCAGCAGGATGGTAGAGAAAGAATATAAGCCCTGGGGATTCCCTTCACACTCATGGGAGCAGAACGGTTCTGCTTTCTTGGAGTTTTAGGTCCCTGTCCAGCCATTGCTGGTATCATCACAGTCACAGCTGCTACCTTTGGATTGCCTGGGGCCAGGATCTGGGAGTAAGGGGAACAAAGCCCCAGAAGATACCCGCTTCCCCTTAGATGCCCCTTTTCTGCTCCTCAGACCAAAAAAGAGAAGACTTCTCTTGGAGCCATTTCTGTCTGCACTTAGTGTGCAGTTCTGAGTTTGGACTGCCTTAGAGTCTAGGCTGAATGGTTCCAGAGGAAACCAAACCAGGAAACTCACTGCTGGATTAGTAGTACTTCTTGTTACAGTTTCCTCCCCCAAGCTAACTGCTATCATTTTGAGAGTCCTCAGATAGCTGCTCCATGTATTCAATTGTGTTCAGTGGGAGAGAGAGCATAAACTATGCTTACTCCATCTTGATCAGAACTAGAACACAGATACCATTTTAATTTCATTATAACTGTATTGTTTATTTGTTTTGATTAAGAATTTATGTTAATTTGGTTAAAAGCATCCATGTACTAGGCTTCGCTGGAAATGTAAAGATGGATAATCTTTAAGGTGCTTATAGTAGGTCCACAGGTAGGCATGTGATGTGGAGGTGGAGGCAGAAATTAAACCTAACTTCATATTAAGCGTTCATAATGAATAATTGAATTATTAATTTTATCCTTTTTGATCCATTTCTGCTTCAGGATTTGACTTACTGTTTGTGACTATAGGAGAGAAGATTCTATTTATATTCCATTAATTTTCTACTTTTCTTGCTATCCCAAAATATAAGAGATGAAAAGTCTCTGGATATATATGTGCTGGATAAATTAATACATAGTTATAATAAGAATAAGAAATATAATTACATATATAATTATAATAAGAATAAGAACTTTAAAATAAAAAGAAATAATTTATTGTTATATATTTGTTTCTCAGGTCTTGGAAAAATACCCCAATACACCCATGAGTCATAAAGAAATTCTTCAAGTTATCCAGAGAGAAGGACTAAAAGAAATTAGGTGAGTTATTTAAATATTATTAATAATAATTATAATACTTGATTAGAGTTTTTCATAGTATATAGCAGTATACTTTAGTCCTGAAGATTGATTATTTAGTAATAATTGCTTTGTTAATTTCTGATTTATTCAGTTGTCAGGTGTTTGGAGTTTTCAGTCATAGCACAGTTAGAAAACCAAAACTAAGTTTAAAAAACTTCTCAGAAGGTAGCTATCTCCACACCCATGCACTTGAATTGTTAGGAAGGCCTGGAGCCATCTTCAAGCCTTCATCTATCAATTAAGGCTTTTGATTTAATAAGCTTGGTCATGAGCAGATAAAAAGTACTCTAGTACAGGGAGAGTGGTGGAGGTAGACAGTCTAGGAAGAAATAACCTTGCCCAAAAAGACTAAAATGGAAAAGATATATAAAGCAGTATATACTTCAAGTGATAGTCTTATTATGTTCAAATAAAACAGCCTGGGGTCAATTAATATAGGGCCAAAAGTAAAACACACTTTAATTTCTAAGAACCTTATATATTACAATAGCACGTAATAGTCACTCTTCATAATCAAGACCCTCAATCATCAAGAAATGTTAAAATTATGTTCAACATATTTTGTACGTTAAGACAGAAATCTGGGAGTCTAATTAGAGATATTTTCATTACAATAGAAAAAGATTGCAGTGCTTTAAAACTGCCTCTAGTTGTTCTCAGCTGGGGGTGGTATTGTGTAACAACCTTAAGGAAAGTTCAGATTTGGGGGGCCTATGTTTGATTGTCGCAGTGACTAGAAAGCAGGGAGCACTATGACATTTAATGGGCAGATAGCAGGAGTGGTGAATGTCTTGCGTTGTGCTGGGCAGTCCTTCACATTGAAGAATTGTTCAGCTCAGATGCCAGTAGTGTTCTTATTGAGAAATAGTGAGCTGTGCTGAAATATTTGTAAATGGATAACATATGTTTTTTGATAAATAGCTATTGCATGTTCTAGATTTTAGTTCTTTTCTTTAACATGAAATTCAATTTGACATTTTTTTATTGGGTTTTCTTTGCTAATGCAGTTAAAAAAACTTTGATTTGTGGCCAAATGTCAGTAAGTTGGGAATAAATTAGGTTTGGTTTATTACCATGAAACAATGAAGTATAAATTAATATATCTTACTTTATATAATATATGTCCCTGAAAAATTGTGTGAACATTTGTAAATTAAAACATTAAAATACATTTGAAGAATTAGCTTTTAAACATATTTTTTGTAAATTATTTAAAAATTAATCACTTAATTTATAGATGATATAATTCTGAATTTTTATTTAAATTAGATTGGATTTATTAGATTAAAATTAAAGCACATTACCCATTTAATCACTGATCAATTTGTATAAGGCTCCAGGAGAAAAGGATAGTGATTTTTGTGACTCTGAGGAATGAATTCTGCTAAGGTATTCTAATATCTTATTTATTTATTTATTTTTTGAGGAAGGTTGGTCCTGAACTAACATCTGCCAATCTTCTTCTTTTTGCTGAGGAAGACTGGGCCCTGGGCTAACATCCATGCCCATCTTCCTCCACTTTATGTGGGATGCCGCCACAGCATGTCTTGCCAAGTAGTGCGTCGGTGCACGCCCAGGATCCGAACCAGTGAACCCCGGGCCGCCACAGCAGAGCGCGCGCACTTAACCGCTTGTGTCACTGGGCCAGCCCCTCTAATATCCTTTTACAACACTATTGGGGTTTTTTTGGGGGGGGGAACATCAGCCCTGAGCTAACATCCATGCCAATCCTCCTCTTTTTGCTAAGGAAGACTGGTCCTGAGCTAATATCCGTGCCCATCTTCCTCCACTCTATGTGGGATGCCGCCACAGCATGGCCTGACAAGCGGTGCGTCGGTGTGCGCCCAGGATCCAAACCCGGCCGCCAGCAGCGGAGTGCGTACACTTAACTGCTACGCCACGGGGCAGGCCCCAACACTGTTGGGTTTTAAAGAATAGGAATGAGCAAGAGATTTCATTTCTTTTCATGAAATTAGACTTTTGATACACACTGGGGAAATAGACCAGGAAATCTGGTATGTAGAGATCGGACTCCATTAGTCTCTTAGGTCTAAATGCCAATTGCAGGGTCATCCAGCTCTGACATAGTAAGGTTCAGTGACTTTAAACTTGTCATTATCAGTTCTAGGGAGCAGGCAAGGAGAGTAAATAAGTAAAAAACAGAAGGAAAAAAAGGAAGAACTTAAACGAAAAAGGAAGCAAGATGGTAGAGTCATCAAAAATAGCTTCTGGCTTCACTTAGTGACAACAATTTACAAGTAGCTATTCTTGGTTAAACTATACTGTTGTGGTGCAGTTATGTGACCACGAAGCGATTCTCTCTAAGTCACCAGGGACTTATATTTTGTCAACTCCATGGGACTTTTGGTTCTTGTCTCTCTTACCGCTCAGCATTATTTAACACAACTGACTACTGCTTCTTTCTTGAAACTCTGTTTTGTTACCTATTCCTACTTTCCTATTTTCCCCTATAAGCTTTTTTCTCAGTTTTTTTACTCATTACCTTCTCTCCAACTTAAGTACAATTTTGTCCCATAGCTTTGAATAACATTTTTGTTTTGTCAGTACCCAAATATGTAGGGAGTACTTGCCACATTAGCCTTTGTACATGCTGATCCCTTAGCAAGGAATGTGCTTTCCCTCAGTTAATTCTTATTTATTTTTCAGGTGTGAGTTTGAATATGTCTTTTTCAGAGAATTTTGGCTGACTTTCTCATCTAGATCACGTTTTCCTTTTTTAGTTTATTATAGTGTTCTGTGTTCTTTCATCATAGCCCTTAAGGTTTGAAATTACATATTTTTGTGATCTTAAAAAAATCATATAGCTTCTCTATGGCTTACATCAAGCTAGTTACATGAGGGGAGTGACATTATCTGCTCTCCCCTCCCAACCCCCCGCAGTGGGAGCCTGCATTATGCTTGGCACATAACAGGCATTGAAAACCTACTTGTTAATGAATATATGAAGTATCAATGTCTGGAAGATCACAGTCAAATGTAGTTATAGCTTATTCTCTTGCTGCAGTGATGTGTCAAATGGTAGTCTTATATTTAAAGTTTTTAGACAGATTACAGAATGAAATAGATATTATGCTTATTGAAGATGTGCATCTTCTTACAGTTTTATTTTCATTCCTCAATCCTCAATACATGGCTTTCAACTCTTTTTCCCTTTGTAGTTTTCCCTCTGCTTCCCCATTTTGAAGAATCTTGCTCAATTTTGATTATTCCATACTATATTGTTTTAAAATACATTAGAGTGGAAACAGCCCAAAGGTCCATCAACAGATGATTGGATGTATAAAATGTGGTATATACATTCAATAGAATATTATTCAGCCTTAAGAAGGAATAAAATTCTGATACATGCTACATGGATGAACTTTAAAATCATGCTAAGTGAAATAAGCCAGACACAAAAGGACAAATATTGTACAATTCCACTTATATGAGATACCTAGAATAGGCAAACTCATAGAGACAGAATGCAGAATAGGGGTTACAGGGGCTGAGAATAGGGGAGAATAGAGAGTTATCATTTGATTGGTATAGAGTTTCTTTTTGGGATGATGACAAAGTTCTGGAAATGGATAGTGGTAGTGGTTGCACAACCTTGGGAATGTACTTAATGCCAGTGAATTGTACACTTAAAAATGGTTAAAATGATAACTTGTATGTTATGTATATTTTGCCACAACCAACAACAAAAAAACGTGTTAAAAATTAAGTGATTGGCTCCTGGCTGAGAAAGATTGAGGTACTAGTCCCCTTATGAGATCAGATGATAAGATTGAAAATCATTTACCCGAAATATGGAATTCTGAATGAATTAATTAGAAACACGTATTCTTCAAAAGAAATTAGAACATTTAAATTAAATGCTCTTTTGTAACTGTAAAGCATATCAACATTTTAGAAAACAGGGAGAAAAAAAGGTCCTCAAGTTTTTTCTGTCACAGTAACCTATGACTTGGTGTATTCCATTATGTTTTTTTTACACCTAAATGCACACCTTTTAAGGATAGTCTAGAGTCTCCCATAGGAGTCACAGGGAAGAAAAAAGCTACAGCTTGTGTTGTTTCAGGTGAAAGAGATTTCTAGAGCGTTCTAAAAGTAGCTTAGTTCTGTTTAGAACAGATAAGATGTGAAAAGGGCTTGAAGTAGCCCATAGGAGGAAGAAAAGATAAAAAGATGAAAAAAAGAATAATTTGGGATTTTTGTAGATTGTAACAGTTATTGGTACTACAGATAGATGCTCTAACTGTGGTATTTGGTCATTTGTAAAGAAACAAAAGTTAATTTCTATGCTGTTTGCCAATAAACAGTTTTTTCAGAAAATTAAAAGTGGTTTTTAAAAATTTGTTATGACATCTCACTTCCTTGTTCAATTTTCCATGGCTAAAATATAGCCTGTTTTTCCTCTTAACTTACATACCAACCATAACTTGGTGATAGTTCCCTAGGGTTGAATTCTTTGACACAGAATTGCTTGTTCCAAATTGAAGTACTGTTAGAATCTTTTAAAGAATTCTGTAAGCTTTTAATCATCTGTTTTTATCTAGGCAGTTTCCTTTTTTTAAAATCGATATTGTTCATTGAATAGAGATTTTATTTATTGGGTTTACTTAGTTGAAAAACCCCCTTTCTCATTATAGCTGATGTATTGATCCTGGATCATACTATGTATTTGTATGAATCTAAATATTGAAGGAATAGTTAGTTCTTTTTGTTTCCCTGTCAAGACACTAGAAATAAATTAAGGTTTCAGGGACAGATGTGTCCGCTTGGTACTTTTTGGTGTATACTTCAGTTTCTCTTGAAGGGAAATTATTCAGGATTTTATTTTACCTTGAATCAGTGTAACTTTTCTGGCAAATGGCTGTATTTGCCATCAATGCTTAAAATAGCCTTTTAAAAACTTAAGATATTTCCTTTGTGTCTTAGGATGTTGATTTTACAGTTTGCAGGAAAACTAACTTAGGACCCCATTTTGTTCTTATTTTCTCCTGACTTGAGTCCATATTTTTTCCTGTGATTACAAACTATACCATTGGTCATGAAGTGTCAGGAGCAATTCAAACCCCAGCCTCCCAAATACAATCACAGAACTACTCCCATATAGCTTCATGGAACTGTTTCTGGGCTTTGGGGCATTAATTTTTTTT